GGAGCTGGGACCCTGGAGCCCGCTGCCTGAAGGCATCTGAACATGCGCGGTTGTTGCTTGTGCTTTGCTTGGGTTCTGTGGTGCTGTGTGCGGAGCTCTTTGGGCGCTCACGCCGCTAGGCAAGCACTGGGCCCTGCCATAAGCTCCCCGGCCCTGCGGCCTTTTCAGTTTTAGCCGGAACTGTTTGTTCACTTTCCCCAAAGGGCAGCAGGGCGTGGGGGAACAGGGACCAGCCTGGGTGATCTTGGGCCGGACGACGGTCGGTCGGTCCTGGGAGTTCGTCCTGAGCTTCTGTCCTTTTCCAGGTGACAAGTGGTGCGTGGTGCACGGCCGCAGTCTCCGTGCGGACAGCCCCGGCTGGGTGCGGCTGCAGTTCCACGCGGGACAGGCCTGGGTGCCCGAGAAGAAGGGGCGCGTGAGTGCCCTGTTTCTGTTGCCTGCCGGCACCTTCCCGCCGCCCCACCTGGAGGACAACCTGCTGTGCCCCATCTGTGTCCGCAGGTGATTAACTCCCGGGTGTCGGAGGGGGCATGTTAATGTGAATAACCGTGTATTTCCAGCACATGTTGTCAGGTATGTGTCAGGGTTAAAGGTCGTACATGGAAACACAGAGTTCTGGGGCAACAAGCATTATGTGATTTCTAGATTCAAGGTACACACGCTGCACGGAAACAGTGACTGGCCCCAGTCAGGCTGGCCTCATTGCAGAGATCCTCCTGCCTCAGCCCCCTGAGTACTGGGATGACACCAGCCATGTACATGTAGTCTACAGCCTAATGGGGGTGGGCTTGCACATACATGGCTGACACTGCAAAACAAGACCCTGTAAGTACAAATAGAGAAGTCAACCAATGGGATTTTTTTTTTTTGGCTCTTTTTTTTTTTTTTTTTTTCTGGTACCGGGTTTTCTCTGGTACCGGGAATCGAACTCACGGCCTCGCGTTTGCCAGGCAGGCACTGTGCTGCTGAGCTAAATCCCCAGCCCCTGGGATTTATTTTTTCAGTCAAAGCCTCCCTGTGTAGCCCAGGCTGGCCTCAAACTCATGATCCTCCTGCCTCAGCCTCCAAGGGCTGGGATCACATCCATGCCCCGCCCTGTTTGGCTGGTACTTCTGTTATTTGTGGGGTTTTTTTGTTTTGTTTTGTTTTGTTTTTTTCTGTTTTGCAGTCCTGAATCAGAGCCTTATGCATACTCTACAAATGATCTACCAGTGAGCTGCATCCCCAGCCCCCCTCTTTTTTATTTTGAGACAGTTTAAGTTGCCCAGGCTACACTAGAATCTTCCTGCATCAGCCTCCCAAGTAACCAAGATTATAAGTGTGTGCCCCTGCACCCGGCTTATGTGTGTGTGAGAGGTGGTACTGGGGATTCAACCCTGAGAGCTCTTACACTGACCTGTCTACCCAGATCTCTTTTTAAAAAGTTTGAGCTGGGCACAGTGGCAGTATCCCAGTCAGTGAAGTTTATCTGAGGTGTGATTACTACTAATTGAAAAAAGTCTGAGACAGGGTCTCACTAAGTTGCCCAGGGTGGGCTCAAATCTCCCCCCTCAACTTCTCAGAGTGCAGGAACTATAGATATGTCGCCATGCTCAGCTGATCGTGGTGTTTCTTTTCTTTTTTTTTTTTT